AAAAAAATCCACGTGAATGTGGGAGCAAACTGAGGCCAGAGGTGTCAGATGCCCTGGAGATAGAGCCACAGGCAGTTTGAGTGCTGGGAATCACTCGGGTCCTCTAGGAGGGGAACACTTGCTTTTAACCACTGAACCTTCTCTGCACCTTCTCCTTGTTTATCAATTCTGAGAGTCCTTTACATATTGTGGCACATACCCCTTATCAGATAGATGATCTGCTGGCACTGAGTCTCAGCCTGTGGCTTTTCTTTCCATTTTCTTTAGTCTTGTTTGGTTTTAATTGAAAAGGGGTTTTCCATACAGGCTTCTCCCCACCTCTGCTTTAAAAAAAATCAATTTTATTATTTTAAATTCTACATGGGTGTATATGTCTGCATGTGAATGCAGGTGCCTCTGGAGGCCAGAGACATCTGACCCTTGGAGCTGAGTCACAGAGGGTTACGAGCTGCCTGACCTGTGTGTTGGGTCGTTTCCCAGGCCCCTTCTCATGTTCTTTATGGAATCCTTTAAAAGGTTTCATTTTTGAGGACCTGCCCATTGATTCTGTGGCTTTCCCTCTATTGAGGTCCTGGTTTTGTTGTTGTTGGTTGGTTGGGGTTTGTTTGTTTGGTTGGTTGGTTGGTTTTTTGTTGTTTTGTTTGTTTGTTTTTTTTTTGAGACAATGTCCCATGTAGCCCAGGCTAGCCTTGAACTCACTTTATAACTAAAGACTGAACTCTGGCCTTTACCTCCTGGGTGCTAGGAAGAGTTTATTTGGCTTCCATATCATAGCTCATCTTTGAAGGAAGCCAGGACAGGAACTCACATAGAACAGGAACCTGGAGGCAGGAGCTGATGCAGAGGCCATGGAGGGCGCTGTTTACTGGCTTGCTCAGCCTGCTCTCTTACAGAGCCCAGGACCACCAGCCCAGGGGTGGCACCACCCACCAGAGTCTGGGCCTGCCCCATCAATCATTAATCAAAAAAATGCCCTATTGGCCTCAAAGTGAGAGATCCACCTGTCCCTGCCTCCCAAGTGCAGGGATTAAAGGTGTACACCTCCACAACCCAGCTTTTTCTTTTTTTTTTTAAAGAAAAAACAAGTATTTAAACAAACACCTTTAATCCTTACCATTTGGGAGGTAGGGACAGGAAGACGAGGGGTTCAAGGGCAGCCTTAACTACCCTTGAGAGTTTGGGGCTAGCTTGGGCTATCATAGGACACTACTCAGAATCAAAACCTTAAGCCTGATCCTTGAGTCTGAGAGAGCCAGAGCAGTTTCCTGAGGCTGCATCCAGCTGTGGAGACTTTAGCCCAGGTCAGCAGGGGCCTGGGCTCCTATACCACTCTCCTGACAGCTGCTACTGAGGTCCCTTACAGAGGAGTCACCACTGCCCTCTCTCAGTGCCACACACTGTTTTATGCACTGCAGTGTACGTGTGTGTGTGTGGGGGGGTGCACTCCAAGAGTTTCCTCTCCACAGACAGAGCCAGTCCCCCTTCCCCGCACAGCCCATGGTGGCTTCTCAGGCTCCTTGGCAGCTGATTTCCTCTAAGGATGGGTGCTGTCATCCACTGCACCCCCAAACAGGCCTTCTTCACCTCCCCACTTATGCCCTTGCAGGAGGCTACTGCTGTGTAGCCAGCCAGGCCCTCATGCTGAGTGCCCAGGGGCAGCAGAGCAGACAGCTCCCCCATGTTTCTGGGCTACCAGAGGAGCAGGCAGAGTACAGAATGGGGCTCTGTGATAACCAGGACTAAAGGGATGGGAAGAGGGAAGGAAGCGGACCGGACTCTCAGTCTTCATCCTTCCTGGGTTAAACACACCCAGAACTTCCTCAGTCTCTTCCTTCCTTCCTTTCTTTCTTCCTCTCTTCCTTCCTTCCTTTTTTACGATTTTTATTTAAGTTATTATGTATGTGAGTACACAGTACACCAGGAGAGTGCATCTGATCCCATTATAGATGGTTGTGAGCCACCATGTGGTTGCTGGGAATTGAACTCAGGACCTCTGGAAGAGCAGTCAGTGCTCTTAACTGCTGAGCCATCTCTCTAGCCCTCTCAGTCTTTTTCTAGACTGCCTGTCTATCATGGCAGCCTCTAGGGCCTCCTGACGCCTGTTTTTTGTTCTCCTTGGTCCTCAGAGTCTAATGTCGGGAAGGGTGGTTGCACCTGACACAGGAAGGACGTGGGTCCTTTGGAATGGCACACAGGAAACTGCTCCCAAGGCTGATAATCCATAGAGGTGAAGGGGGGGGGAGATAGATGGGAACAACTGTCCACTGCCCATGCAGATGGAAGGGGTCCCAGAACTCAAAGGGGACCTGACTTCATAGCCACCCACCCAGGATGTTGACCAAGGATTCCCAGCCTGCCCTCTGCCTGTCCTAAAGCACCAGATGATGCTGAGGTGACTTCCCCAGGTACCACCTGATCTTCAACGTCTCTGCAGCTGTTTCCTACAGCAGGGAGAGGTGACCCTCCTCCTCTAGAACCCAGGGTCCCTTGCAGAAGCTTCCAGAAGCTTCAGTTCCACCTCGACATAAAAGCAGCCATGCACCTCAGTGCAGCCCTACCAGCCTGGCTGCCCGATGAGCTCCTGACACTAGATGTCTCTCTCCAGCCTTACCTGGCCCAGCTGAGTCAGACTCCAGGCTGGATGAGGTTGAGGACATTACCACATCTGTTTCACCCACTTTTTCTTTTTCTGAGACTTTTTCTTGTAGCCCAGGCTAGCTCTCTTTCCTCCATCTCCAGAGTGTTGGGATCTCAGTTTATCAGGTTCTAGTGATGGAACCCAGGGCCACATGCATGTTAGGCAAGCCCTCTACAAATGAGCTACCCCTACGGCCATGTTGGGAGCTCCCCAGGTGATTCCTGCAGGTTGTGGCTCTGAGAGCAACTGGAAAATACTCAGGGGCTCTCACCTAAGGGTTCTTGTAAGTCTAGAGGTAGTTTTTTTGCTCCTAACATCAGAAGACTGTGCTACTGGAATCAGGGGAGCGAGGTGGGGACCTCACTAGGGAAGAAGGATGGAGAGAGAAGCCATGGCCCAGAGGCCCAGACCCAAGTTCTCAGAGGCTATGAGGAATGCCCACCTCAGTACAGCAGGTGACAGGGGCATTGGCCTGTCTCCCATATGCACCACACCCCCACCCCCGTGACTGGTGTTCTCTCGCTAAGGACAGCTCAGGACTGACTGGAGATGTTCAGTCAAGAAGCTCTATTTGTTCTGTGGCCTGTGACTCCCCTAAGCCAAGGTTCTCACTATGGCCATAAGTGAGAATAACCGTCTAACCTGGAGAGGAGTCATAGGCACATGGGGACATCGAGGTCCCTTGCCTTGTTGGCATTAGATCAGAACTAGTGGGAAAGAACAAACCAACCTCTGAGGCAAGTTGAAGCCGAGAAGACAAGCTGACATCTACTAGCACGAGCATTTGACTAGCCCAGGTCCTTCGCCATCCAGAAGAGGAATTCAAAGACCCTGACTGCTATCTACAGGGGTTCTCGTACCTCCTTTGTCACCATGAGAGGAGACAGCCCTGCCCCTTTGCTCCATAGGGCAGAACCTGGACATAGGGCCATTGGCAGCTCAGGGAGTAGTCTGTTGGGATTCACGGGAGGTGATGAACAGCTAACGGGCATGTCATCAGCCTTGGAAGGTACCAGGGAACCCCCAAAGAAAATCAGGGATCAAGGGAAGAAAATTTTTAACCAAATATATGTGCACATATATATGTGAAAGCGTCTGCTCCCTGCCCCAGGGAAGGGACAGGGCAGGGAAAGTGACATAAGATGCTGAGTTATGAAGCTGGAGACCACAGCAAATGTTCTGCTCCAGTGGCTAGGCACTTCTGTTCATCCTGGTTCACGCCTGGAGACAGACACGGCAGGCAGGCAGGCAGGCAGGCAGTCAGTCGCAAAGTGCTGGCCCAGGAATGCCCAACCACTTCACACGAAGACCTGGGGGCTCAAGCCAGGCCAGGTCCCATCTTGTCTCGGGAGGGTGAGACATGGGCTATATCCTGCCCATCTGTCCACTTCTGTTGGAATTCTGAAGAATGTTCGATCCATTTCCTAACACTGTGGCCTTGACAAAGCCAGGGTCTGAAACATCACTGCATTTCTTTAGTGATGGTTCAAAGTAGGCAGGTGAATACCTGTGTATCCACCACAGGAATTCCACTTTCCTGCCCTGGACTCAGTTTCCCCTGGATCATTCCGAAATATACACAGCACAGGGGTGTGGAGACTTGAGGCTGGTAGCGTGGGTGTGAACGACAGGCTTGCGACAAAGACTTGAGCTAGACAGGTGAGTGGGTCTTCAAGGAAGGTCCCAGGAGAGAGCCATTAAGACTCAGGCCTGGAAGTCACACCTCAATGTGGGTGTATAGCTCGCCGTGAATACTTGCTGGACTTATGGAGGAGGGGCACGGGGAAGCCATGCCATATCCCTGGCATCAAAAACATAATAATAAAGACCGCTAGGCATTGGCCCCAAGCTTGTGATCCCAACACTTAGGAGACAGGGGCCAGAGGATCAGGGGTTCAAGGGCAGCCTGGGTGGGCTACCAGAGCTTCTATCTCAAATAATACAAAAGAAACCATGATTTAGGGAGTCGGAAGGCGCCAGCCGGAGTCCTCTTAGTCCGCACCCTCAGGTCCTCGGCCAGCTATGGCAGGCGGAGGCACGTGGCCAGTCAAAATGCCAGAACCCAGCAGCGGGGAAGCCCGCGGGTCACAGTGCTACCTGAACCTCCCAACTGGAGCGACAAGCTGGGGGCGTTACCTCTGCGTCTCTGCACAGGAGGCGGAGCTGGGCGCCCCTCTCCCTTCCACAGAACCGGGACAGCGGGCGGATGCCCAAACTTTCCCGGGTGCGGGCAGCGCGGCTGGGGTGGGGGAGGCGGGCAGGGAGGCGCGGCGACAGGGGTTGTGGCTGAGCCCTGGGCGGGCTGTGGGGCGGAGCGGCCCGGGCGGCGCCGCCCTCCAGGTGCCGGGCGGGGGCCGAGGCAAGCGCCGCTGCAGGGAGAGCAGGCCGGGCCATGACCCCCGCGGCCCACGGCTGCAGGCGTGTCGCCTGGTGTCCCTCACGGCTACCAGCGTCCGCGCCCAGCGCGCCCCAGGAAGCGGTGAGTGTGCGCGCGCCGTGCGCGCCACGGCGGACGCACCGGGACCTGGGTTTTGGCGATCTGGGACATAGGGAGGGACCCCAGGATCCTGGAGACCTGGGACGATGAGGACCTCGAGGTGGGGAGTCCGAGACGGTTGGAGACCCGGGTTGCGGAACCCAGGAGGGTAGAGAACACGGGGTGAGGTGGAGACGGAGGAGGAGTGGCCTGTGGAGACCCCAAGGTGGTGGGGACTCCAGAGTGATGGGGGACCCTTTGGCCCCTGGCGTCCCACAACTTCCTGCAGACTTCGCTGATCAGCAGGGCCTCCTCTGGCCGCGTGTCTGACATCGGGCGGGGGCGTGTCCCACGCGTGGCAGCCTCAGGCCCCTCTTTGCGTCCGGCAGGGTTGTCAGGTTGCCAAGCAGTCGGGCAAGGTGGGGGCAGGAGGCCTCGGGAGGAAGCGCTTCCCTCCACCAAGTGTTTCGAATGTATTATTGATGAGCTGCCTCGCTTAGGGGCGCCCAGTACATCAAAGCAGCTTCGCGACCGCAAAGGGCGACCCGCTCGAAGCAGGCGCTTCTCTTGGCTGGGCTGGCCCTGGCAGATCTGGGGAGGGCGCTTATTAAAAAGAGGACCCGCAGCTCCCTTTGGGGACTCTGAGGGCAGGAAGGACTTCTGGCCTTTGCCAAGAGAACAGTGCAGCGCAATGAAGGAGTATAGAAATGTTAGAACACGCCCTGTTTTACAGACAAGGAAACTGAGTCCCAGATGGCTTCTCCTGAGTGGCAGACTCTGATGTCTCTCTCCAGCATGAGACACTTCCCTGGTTGCTCTAGCTGCAGAGAGCACCTCTTGCCTATCCAGATCCCTTTCCTAGCCAGGACACAATGTAGTCTGGTCCTGTCGTGGTCCCCCCTCCCCCAAGGCCCCCTCCCTCAGGTCCGGGTCCTCTGCACAGGAGAAAGGCTGTGTATTTATGGAAAGACTTAATCCCTCCACCAGCCCCAAGGCCGTGGAAAGCTGTGTCTAATCTGTCCCTGGAAGGCCTCAGCTGGTGGGCACACACTAGGCCGAGTCTGCGTCCCCTAGGGAGGTGTAGGTCACTCGGGAGACTTACAAAGCAACTCGTCCTCAGCCGAGGACGCTGAGACGTTAATGCTTAGCCAGCAGTTGGCCTATGCCAGACCTGCTCCTGCCCTGCCTGTCTTCACACCCACACCAGCCCTTTAACCAAACCCTCCTCTTGCCCCCATTTTAAAGGCAGGAAAGTTGATAAGTCCAGGTATTAGCCCTGAGGCAACAGGGAATGGCTCTCATCTTGGGGGTTAGGGGAGGAGGCTGGGCCAGGGAAATCAGCCCACCACAGAGACTGAGAGAGGATAGCCCACTCAAGAGAGATCCACTTTGAGTGTCAGTCTCCTAAGCCCCACACAGCCATGGTCTCCTGCTAATAGCCGCCAAAGTTGCAGTACCCTTCCCCCTGTCCCTGTGCTCAATCTTTGAGAAAAAAAAATTAAATGTATTTTTATGTGTATGAGTGTTTTGCTGGTATGTATGTCTCCACACCCTATACACAGGCCTGGTACCCTTTGAGGGCCTTGGATCCCATGGAGCCAGAGTTACAGGTGGTTGTGAGCTACCATGGGGTGCTGGGAACTGAATCCAGGTCCTCTGCAAGAAATAAATCCTCCTAACCACGGACCCATCTCCTCCTCCCATCCTACCTCCAAGTTCAATCTTCACTGTTATGGAAAACAAATGGATGCTTTGTTGCACTTTGTTGCCGCTGTTACTGTTCGTTAAGCTGTGGGCTTTATTCTTTAGCAGAGCTTTTTAATGGTATGTAAGCCACAAAGTGGAGCATGGATAACCCCAAGTGGCCAAGAGCAGGCAGCAAGCGGGCTGGTGGGAAGCCAGGGTTTGCCCCAGGTGGGGTCGTGGGGTCTTAGTGGTTGTTGGCATCTCTTGGCTCTTGCTTCCCTGAGAGATTCAGGTCAGGCCTTGAGGGGAGGTACCCCAAGGCTAGCATCTATTCTCAGCACCAAGCCAGGAGCTGGAATTGAAAGAATTCTAATCCTGCCGCTGCACAATCAAGTGACTTTCCTAAAGAAGGCAGAAACCCTGTTGTGGGTGTGCCCAGCCGGAAACAGCTCTGTGAGGGAGCTTAAGAAAGCGCTAAAAGCCCAGGTTGCCCTGCCCTGCCTCCCCCAGCCTTTCAGGTCCGCACACCTAGCAGTCAGTCACATTCTTCCATTCTGACTTCTCCTGCCCAGCCTGGTTCTTAAAAGGATGGCTTTGTTAAGGAGAGGCGAAGTGCCACTGTGACTCAGGCTCTCTTGGCAGAGGGCACTGGGCAGGGACCATGGTGAGGAGTGCTCCCAGCCTTACCGCCTGCTATTCAGTCTTCCATTCATGACAGCTGATACCGCACTCAGGACTATGGCTAAAGTAGCCAAGGTTCCAAAGGAGGAAGCAAACGAGGCCTATGTCAGGCCAACTGAAGGTCCATACCACATAGGATGTACATTTCCCTCACAGGACCCAGGCATCCTGCCTTCAGCCTGGAGACTGACACTTCATCCCTCAGCAGATCTAGGTCTGTGTGGCCCTGGAGCCCAATCTCCCCCAAACACAGGGCAGAGCCTGTCTTCTATGAGCAGGTGCACATTATAATGACGTCTGACTTTTTTCTGTGTGTTGCAAACCAGTGAAAGCCAGGTGGCGAAGTGACTTCTGATGTAATTAGTCTCCAAAGCCCAGAGAAGCCCTCTCTGCCCACTTTCTGAGGCTCTTCTCAGAGCCTTGACTGTGTCATGTGCATTACAGGACTGTGTCCCTGCTCAGGAGGGAGTAGACCCTGCAGGAGGAAGCGAGGGTTTTCCAACTGCCTGCCTGTCATTGCGGGGGATCTGGCGACCAATTGGTAATGAGGTTTTTTGCCTCCATTGTTCTGAAGGAACTGTAAACAGAGTCCAGTTACCCTAAAGGGAAGCTCTTCACCTTGCAAGGGTGTGAAGTGAGAGACTTCATGCCCGGGCCCTCTCCTGTTCTTCAGGATAACCAGAGGCCTGTCCCTGCCTTCCCTCTGCTCATTTGCTGTCTCTCTACTAGCTGAACTGGGCTTAGGGATGGATGACCTTTGACCCCACACCTCAGTAGGAGGAGGGAGTTTTGAGATCAGGTCTCACTTGGCCCACTCAGGCCTCAATCTTCCTGTGTAGCCTTTGCTAGCCCTGAACACCTTATCTTCGAGCCTGTGGGTTTACAGGGGTGCCGAAACCGTGCCTGGCTCAGTGTGCATTTCCTACCAACAAGATTGTTCCTCACAAAATAATGACACCGTGACCTGAATCAGAGGCGTTACTGTGGCCTCTATGCTACCACCTAAGATAGACACGACATTGTTGTCGTGTGTGTGTGTGTGTGTGTGTGTGTGTGTGTATGTGTGTGCATGCTTTGGCATGTGTGTGGGCATCCATGGGGGAGATGCATGTACATGTGCTTGCACGAGCACGTGGAGGCCTGTGGTTGATGTCAAGAGTCATCCATTGCTCTTCGGCCTCATTCATTGAGGCAGGACCTCTCAATTAAAGCCAGAGCTCATGGATGTGCTTGCCAGCTGGCTCTGAAAATTCCCCAGTCTCCGTTCTGAGACCGGTGGGGATCTGAACCCTGCTCCTTATCCTTGCATTTTGGGCACAGACATCTCCCCAGACCCCATGTTTCTTTTGACCAATACTTTGCAAACATGTACTCAACCCTGTCCCCCCAGCCTCAGCCTCAAAGCAGGTCCCACTCAAAGCTGGTTCTTCTCCCCCCGCCCCCCCACCACCACCTTGACTCCTTTTCTGGCACATTCCAGACATGACAAAGCCTTCAACACCCTCACTGTTCTGTGCTCTGTTGGGTGGCTGAGAACAACTCCCAACTGACAGAACCAGAGGAGCCGCCAAGCCCCCAAATGGCTGTGCACACCCTGTGCTTGTGTGCCCGACTGTCGTGAATGGGGCCCTGCTGAGGTGATTGACAGGCTTGGCTTAGCGGGACACTGCTGGGCTTACAGGTGTGCACCACCAGGCTTCCTGCCTGTCAGGCAAGCATTCCTCCACTCACATCTTGATAGGGGTGCCACCTTCACCACCCTCCCCACTTGTTGGCAGAACCCCACTTTTAAGATCCCCTGTTTCACCTGCCCTACCACTATGGAAGGTGTTTCCAGTCTGTCTGTACATGGCTGAGCCAGGTGTCAGTCATGTGGCCCCCTGTCTGCCTGTGTTAACCAAACAGCAATTGCTCCAGAGTCTTCGAAGACCTGTGAGTGTGTACTGGGTGACCCGCATGAGCCTGGTGGGCGGCTATGTCAACAAAGCCCACCCCAACATGGGTGTCAGGTCTTAAAAGCTGGGACTCTGAGCTCTCTACATGACTTGTAGCCACTATGCAGGGCACTGAGCCTGGCACAAAGCAGTCCTTACCACTTATGTGACCTGGTGGAAAGAGAGACCTTGGGAATCTACTGGGTTTCGTGTACTTCCTGAGACTTCTACATTGTTCATTTCCTGAGTGTTAAGGAGCCTCCCTCTGGGTCTATGCAATACCAGGCTACCCAGGCTGCTGGCCACTAGAGTGACCCACTTTGGGGGAGGTCACAGCCCCTTCCATACCCTAGCCTACCCATCCAGACACAGAACCTTGCAAACAGATGGCTTCCAGAAGCCTCTCAAGGTGTGAGGCTCCTCTCTCAGTCCTCTGCTGAGTCCTGTTGGCTGAGGCTGATCCCAATCTCAGCTCTGTGACTCCCAGGTGGCCTTGGGCTGCTGACACCACCTCTCTGAATTTTGATTGCAAAAGAGGGTGTTGACAGTACCAGGAAGGTGGGGTGTTGGAAGTGGAGATGGTTCCCCCCCCCTCACCTCCTGCTTATATTAACCAGTTACTTGAGTTCTAAGGAAAGGGTGGTAGAAAGGTCGGGAAAACATGGGTGAGAACTTTTCTGATTCCCATGGACTAGGGACACAGCCTGGTATAGTTCAATTCATTCCAAAAATCTGTATTGAGAGGACAGGGGACTGGGCTGCTCAGTGGTCCAGCGAGTATGCCTGCTATGCCCAAGGTCCCCGGTTCAATCCCCAGTGAGGCCAATGACTAGAAACCTTGAAAATCAGTAGGTCAGGGGTTGTAATGGAAAGAATATCTGCTATGGTAGGTGTCACCGAGCCCCATAGCCTGTGGGTTCTCCATCTCTGAGGCCCTTAGCCCTAAGCAGCCTTACCTAAACCTTCCCGGACGGCAGCCCTCTGCCCTCAGCACAATATTCAGCCCAGATGTGGTCAGCAGGCACTGTGACCTCATAGCTGGTTTGTTTCAGCACCCCTTCCTGTTGTGTGCCCAGCTGGCCAACATGGGCTAGTATAATGATATCCCCTTCCCCTCTCTGAGTACTCTCCTCTCTTCACAGGCCCGCAGAGGCGACGCCATGGGGCTGAAGCCCTCCTGTCTGAAAGGTAAGGCAGAGTGTGGGGTTTGGGGTCAAGGGGCATGGGGGAGCAAAGAGAGGGAGGCTGGGGTGGAGATAGTACAGGGGGACCTAGAGGCCTGGGGTGCTGTTTTAGACTGATGGGATACCTATTAAGGCAGTCCATTTATACAGTAGAGATTCTGTAAATGCTTGTTCTGCCTCTGCGACCTCCTCCAGTCCTTCCTTCACCAGAGCTCAGTACCCCAGGGCTTCAACTTCCTCCTCAGAGGGAAAAAAAAAAATCCCAGAAAAGAGGGTACCTGGTGAGCAGAAGCCAGGCATAGCTCTGGGAGCTGCCTTCCAGACACTCTGGATGCCTGTCTTCACGCAGGCAAAAGGTCAGCTTGGCTAGCTCTGCAATGGAAAGCTCGAGAAGGGCACAGGATCCATGAGAGGTGTTGATGAGACAGCACAAATCTCTGTTCTGATATCCAGAAAGAACTCAAAACACCATGGCCCCAATGAAAGATACCCGAAGCCTTCTAATGTCCCCTTGTGGCACAGGCTTGGTCTCCATCCTTACCTTCGAGCCTTTAGGTCCAGATCTGCCTTGGACAGTCCTGCTGGTACCATAGGCACGGCCTAACTGCTAGTCATCACTCAGTTTGGCGAGGGTGCCATCCATCCCCACTGCTCTTGAAGACTGCAGGGCCGTGCCAGCCTTACTCCTCACTGTCCACTGTGTAGTCTGATGGCTGCTGCCAAACACAAACTCACTACCCAACATGCTCAGCCAGAGGTTGGAGGAGACCAAGCTGGCTGTCTCTGGGACCCCCAGGCTCACAGGAGCAGGTGAACGAATGCCCACGTGTGGAAGTGGCTGACCGTAGGACAGCTGGAGGCAGGGGGGTTAAAGGCTGAGTGGGTCCTTCTCTTGCTGTGGCTGTGAGTCTTAGCCTCCCATGGCTGTGAGTCCGCCCCTCTCCTGTGCCCAGCACAAAGCATGTCTGTGATGTCGCTTTCTGTAACCATGCAGAATAGACATAAACTTCGCCCTGATGACCCGCGAGTGCAGTTTGTTAGTTGTAGAATACCACTGTGGACCGCTGCCCACTGCCTGGACATCCTGAACTTTCCTTTCTACAGTCCCAACAACTCTAATGCCTTATGTACATGGACCCGAGGCTTCTAAGATTCTCGCACCTCATATGCATGGACCACTCTTTTGCCTGGTTTTGTTCACTGGGCATCGCAGTTTCCCAGCTCAGCGTGTTATGGCGTGTGCCTCTGTGTCGTTGGAATTAGATGACATTTCATAGCGTGGATTTTCAGTCAGCTTCAAGTTACTGCCACAAAACACCCGAGACAAACAATTTACAAAGATGAAAGGTTTATTGTAGCTCATGCTGTCCCATCACGGTTACCTTGGGCCTGTGGGTACAGCCAGGTGTGATTGTGCTTGAGGATTGTGCTTACGAATGAGATGCTGATCTTCTTACAGTTAGGAAATTAGAAAGGTTGGACCAGAGCCTAGGGTCTTAGTGTATCCCTCGAGGGAGTGTCCTCAATGACATAACTTCCCGCCGGGCTTGCTTTTTTACAAACATCCCCATGGACTGGGGACCAGGACCATGACACATGGAGCTTATGGGATACTTAAAATCTAACTAGGCATGTATATGTAATCCCACCACTTGTGAGGCTGAGGCAGGAGGATTTCTGCAAGTTTGAAGCGAGCCTGGGCAACATAGTGAATCCCAAGCCAATCTGGGTTGTACTGTCACCCTAGTAAAAAAAGCAGTAGATCTGCGGTCAACAGGTTGGGACATGTTTTATTTTTCTCCCACCCATCAATGAGGACTGGCCTGGTTATATCACGATGTCTGAAATCGTTCAACCTCAGGACACAGACTGATTCTCCAACAGGACGCACCTCCATCCCACACTACCAGAAGCCTAAAAGCCACGCTGCACCAAGGGCCCCTGGGACAGGAACTTTGAAAAGGACCCTTCGAGCCGGCCCTCATGCAGTTTTCATTGTGTGCTTTGGGCGTGTTAGACTTGGCCTGTCCTGAATCACTCAGCCTCAATCCCTGGAGGTGATGAAGCCATTGCGGAGGCCTGGGAGAGACTCAGGGCATGGACTGACAGACAGGGGACCCCAGACCTCACTGTGCTTTTGTGTCAAGACCTGAAACTGACCTACCAGCCCCACCCAGCCCCTCCTCCACCACTTGGAGCCTGTGCGCTCTCTCTCTCTCTCTCTCTCTCTCTCTGTCTGTCTCTCTCTCTGTCTCTCTCTCTCTCTCTCACACACACACACACACACACTCACGCACAGGACACACAGGTTGATGTTGTACCCACAGGCCTAGCCACAGCCCAGTTTTCTGTGTGCCTGGCTCTAGTGTAACCACAGGTTTGGCTCGGTATAATGCTATCTGCTCTGTTTCGTTTCCTTGAGACATTGTTTCATGTAGCCCAGGCTAGCTTGAGCCCTATATAGCCAAGGATGACCTTGTGTGCTATACTGTTGCTTTTGTAGGTATGTCTTGTTGAATATTTTGGTGTGATGATGATGATGGTGATTGTTTGGATTAAATCCCAGGAATCAGAATGGTAAATGACAATAAATTGTTAAGTTTTACTTGGCTTAGCCTGGGAAAGGCTCTTTTCTGTGAATTCTTTTTTTTTTTAAAGATTTATTTATTTTATTTATGAGTACACTGTAGCTGTCTTCAGACACACCAGAAGAGAGCATCAGACGCCATTACAGATGGTTGTGAGCCACCATGTGGTTGCTGGGATTTGAACTCAGGACCTCTGGAAGAGCAGTCAGTGCTCTTAACTGCTAAGCCATCTCTCCAGCCCCTTTTCTGTGAATTCTATATAGATTAAGTCATTTGTCTCCAAGATGAAGAGGGTAAAGCCCAGAGAGGGAGTCTGGTTTCTCTGGGGTCACACAGCCTTGGCCCAGGCAGGACTTGAACTGTTCCCAAAGCCTCGTTCCAGTCACCCCGTCATCGGCCTCCATCCTCCTGTGGCTCCCCGTTTTGTCTTTTCCTTTGCTTCTGAGAGCACAGTTGTCGGGCTCAATCCACCCTGTTCCCAGATGCCGTCACTGTGAGGCCCTTAGCTCTTCAAACCTTCAATCACCTCATTCCAGTGAGGCTGGATTCACCCTGGAGCCAATTCACCCCTAGAGGCGGGTGGGGGTGAGGGTGCTGATGTCACTCATGGGACAACAGAGACAAGGGACGCAACCCGGTCCTACCTATGTCCTCCATCCCTGAGGCTCAGCTGTTCCCAGCCAGTCTCCTTTGTAGGCTGTCCAGCTCCAGGCTACCTCAGCTCTGCTCCCTGCCAGAGCATGCGTGCTGCACGGCATGGCATCCTGCCACCCCAGAGTCTGGCTCAGTTTAGCACTCCATAAATCAGGATGCCCCTGTGTGTGTCTCTAGGCTCAGAGCTCTCAGAGAAAAGTGAGACATCCTCCACCCAGCCACACTGTGGGCTGAGTATCCTCTAGAGCATTCTACTGAGTTCCACCAGAGACTCTGCTGAGGGCTCACTGAGAACACTATCCACTTAGAGGACAGGGCCCTCAGAAATTTGTAGCTGTCATGGTGACAGTCTCTGGAGACAGAAGGATGGTGAGCTAGGCGTTAGCCTGGGCTACACAGTAAAACCCTATCAAAAAACTAACCAACTAAGCAACAAATACATTAATTAATAAGTTTGGGCTGGTGAGATGGCTCAGCAGTTAAGAGTACTTGTTCTAACAACCTGTTCCAACTGGTTTTGGTTCCCAGTATGCACATGGTGGCTCACAATTGTCTGTAACTCTAGTTCCAGGGGTCCAACATTGTCTTCTAACCTCTGTCAGCACAGGTGTCCCTGCAAGCAAAACACTCATACACATAAAATACATAAATTTGTTTTTTGGTTTTGTTTGGTTTTTTCCTTGCCGGAGACCAGGCTATAAACAACCCGTGACAGGTAAGGTAAGGCTTATGCAGGCATTTGGGGTTTTCATGGGTTTGGGGAATTTTCGAGTAGAAGGAATGTGAATTTCTCAGCTCCCGAATCTACCACAAGGGATTGTTTCTTGGGAAAGCTGTGAAAAGCTGTCGTCCTTGGGTGGGCTCGAGCCACCAACCTTTCAGTTACCAGCCTAACTCGCTCACTCACCGATTGCCTGACAGAGACGGTTACAATAGGCTTTTAAAAGATAATATATTTCTTTTTTTAAAATTCATTTACTTTCAAGTGCGTGCATACATGCACGCGTGTGCCCGTGCATTTGTGAGTTCTCATGAGGCCAGAAGAGGGCATCAGATCCCCTGAAGCTAGAACTCCAGGTGATTGTGAGCTCTCGGATGGGGGTGCTGAGAGCCAAACTTGGGTCTCAGGTCTTCTGCAAAGACAGCAAGTGCCCCTCCCTCTGTGTTTCTCACCAGCCTCCTACCCCCAAGTACTCATTTCTCAGTGGCATGTAGTGGCTCCTACAGTGCCACCCGCCTCAATGACCCCTGCTTCCCACACCACCCCTGTCTCAGGGTCTTTGCACCGGCTGGTCCCTCTGACTGAGACACAGTCTCTATACTCCAGTGTCAGTCACTCCAGCCTAATGTTGGGGTCCCTCATGGGTCCTCAGCTTCTCTCCTTGTACCCCCTTTGTCTGCAGCCTGGACCGTATGTTCACGTAGCCGTATGTGTCTCTTCTTAGGGCCCTCTGACAGCAATGGCATAGAGTGGGTAATCAGTTCACTTGTTGGTGAAAGAAAGCCTGCCCCAGTTTACAACCCTGGTCTGAACTCCACCCCCCAGAGCAAACAGTTAGCCTCCTGGAATCCCATGTGTTCCTAGCTTCTGTTCTAGGCTCAGACACACACAGATCCCTACCTCATGGTGGTGGCATTGCCAGCCATTGAGGTTGGGGACTCTCTGGGCCCTTGGAAGCTGGAAGAAGCCATTTTATAGTTGGAGAGTCTAAAGGCCAGGAGGTCAGGGAGTTTGGTCCTTGCAGGTGTATCAGCTAAGGAT